CCGTCTCCCCTGGTCCCACGACACCGGGCTCTGTGTCCCGCCCGTGTCTCCCATGGTCCCACGACACCAGGCTCCGGGCTTTGTCTCCCCTCAGTGTCTCCTGTGGCCGGGGCTTCTCCCTCACATCTCTTTTGTCTCTTGCAGGGGAGGGAAGATCTGCCTGACTGACCACTTCAAGCCCCTGTGGGCCAGGAACGTGCCCAAGTTCGGGCTGGCCCATCTCATGGCCCTGGGGGTGCGTTTCTGTCAGTAGGGGGTGGGGGGAGTCTGTGTCTGAGTCGTGCTCACAGCCCCCTGTGCTCTTTGCCTTGCAGCTGGGCCCATGGCTGGCAGTGGAGATCCCGGACCTGATCGCCAAGGGGCTCATTGAGCACAAGGAGAAGTGAGGGGTCCAGGCTGGCAGAGGCCTGCAGGGTGGCTCTAGATGCTCCAGCGCTCAGACCTTGTCCTTCCACGCAGACACAGCAGCCAACTGGCCCCGCGGCCCTGCCCTCAGTGCGGGGCAGTGCACTCACTGTGCTGGGGACTCACGATTCCTGTCTGCTCCAATTCCATGTAACCCCTGCCCAGTTCCTGTAGGGGAGAGCTGCCCAATCTCCCCCAATAAAAACTGTAGCCTGACTAAGGCCTGCCTGGCTGCTGCCGTGCCTGGGGGCTCTTGCCAGGGGTTGCGTCCTGCTGAGGTAGCTGTGCTCTAGCTACCTCTGCTGAGTCCCTGCTCCCACTGCACCAACTGCACCATCCTGATGCTTCCTGGTCCCTCCTGCTTAAAGAAACGGCTTGTAACTGAACCGGTTTCCAATTCACCATACCAGTGAGTGGGGGGCTGGCCCCTGCCTGTGAGGCTCCATCCAGTTCTCCTAAAGGACTCCCTAAGCCGGCCCCTCTGAGTGTATGAGCTCCCCCTCCTCTGCTGTGTCGTCCTGGGCCTCTCCCATGCAGGGGCTGGGATATGTCTCCTGGAGCCCTCAGTAACTTCAGCAGGAGGCTCGCTTCTTGTCACTGGTCCACCCAGCTTCTACCTGCACAGAATCGCACAAGGGGGTGTCAGCTAGGGGCTAGATCAATGGTTTGTGCAGCACCTAGCGTGCGGGGCAGGGGAGGGAGAGGTCCATGGCTGAGGGTCCTAGGTGCTACCGTAATACACCTAATAAATGTATAGCACCTGGCACAGTGAGGCCCTGGTCCATGGCTGGGGTTCCTCAGTGCTGCTATAATACACCTACATGCACACGTAAGAACAGCTGTAGCAGGTCAGCCCAATGGTCCGTCTAGCCCCGTTTCCTGTCTTCTGACTGTGCGAGATGCTTCAGAGGGAACAAACAGAACAAGGCAATTTCAAATGACCATCTCCTGTCGTCTAGTGCCAGCTTCTGACAGTTGGAGGTTTAGGGGCACCCGGAGCACGGAGTTGCATCTCTGATCATGGCTAATAGCCATTGAATGACCTATCCTCCATGAACCCATCTAATTCTCTTTTGAACCCAGTTATACTGTTGGCCTTCACAACATCTCATAGCAATTCGTTCCATGGGTTGACTCTGCATTGTGTGAAGAAGTACTTCCTTTTGTTTGTTTTAAACGTACCTGTTAATTTCATTGGGTGACCCCTGGTTCTTGTGTTATGAGAAGGGGTAAATAACGCTTTGTATTCACTTTTGCCACACCAGTCATGATTTTATAGACCTCTATCATATCTCCCTTTAGTTATCTCTTTTCCAAACTGAACAGTCTCAGTCTTTTTAATCTCTCCTCCTGTGGAAGCTGCTCCATACCCTGAATCATTTTTGTTGGCCTTCTCTGTACTTTTTCCATTTTTAATGCATCTTTTATGAGCTGGGGTGACCAGAACTGCACGCAATATTCAAGATGTGGGCGTACCATGGATTTATATAGTGCCAATATGATATTTTCTGTCGTCTTATCTATGCCTTTCTTAATGATGCCCAACATTCAGTTCGCTTTTCTGACTGCCGCTGCATATTGAGTGGATGTTTTCAGAGAACTATCCACAATGACTCCAGATTGTCCTTGAGTGCTAACATCTAATTTAGACCCCATCATTTTATATGTATAATTGGAATTCACTTTTCCAATGCACATTACTTTTCATTTATCAACATTGAATTTCAGCTGCCATTTTTTTGCCCAGTCACCCAGTTTTGTGAGATCTCTTTGTAACTCTTTACAGTCAGTTTTGGACTTAACTCTCTTGAGTAATTTTATGTTGTCTGCAAATTTTGCCACCTCCTAGTTTACCTCTTTTTCTGGATCACTAAGGAATATGTTGAACAGCCCTAGTCCCAGTGCAGATCCTTGGGGGACCCCAGTATTTACCTCTCTCCATTGCGAAAACTGACCATTTATTCCTATTCTTTGTTTCCTATTTTTAACCAGTTACTGATCCATGAGAGAACCTTCCCTCTTATTCCATGACAGCTTACATTACAGAAGAGCCTTGGGTGAGGGACCTTGTCAAAGGCTTTCTGAAAATCCAAGTACACCGTATCCAATGGATTCCCCTTATCTCCCTGCTCGTTGACACCCTCAAAGAATTTCAGTAGACTGGTGAGGCTTTATAGAAGCTGTGTTGATTCTTCCCCAACATATTGTGTTCACGTGTGTGTCTGATAATTCTGTTTTTTCAGTTTGCCTGGTACTGAAGTTAAGCTTACAGGCTTGTGATTGCCAGGATCTCCTCTGGAGCGTTTTTAAAAATTGGTATCACGTTAGTTATCCTCCAGTCATCTGCTTCAGAGGCTGAGTTAAGTGATAGGTTACTATCACTGTTAGCAGTTCTGCAATTTCATATCTAAGTTCCTTCAGCACTCTTGGGTGATACCATCTGGTCCTGGTGACTGTTTAATTTATCTACCTAACAGTAATACACAGTGCCTGGCACAGGCTGGGGCTTCTAGGAGTTACTGTAATACCCCTACTAAATAATCCTGGCAGTTAGCTAAGGCTGTAGAGCAGACTCATTTTATCTCTCTCTCCAAGTGGTCTCGGCACCACTAGCTGGGACAGAACAACACACCCAGAAGGTGTGTGGGTTACAGTAGCATCGCACCTCCTGAGGTGCCGTACCAGCACAAACGCTGTGTGCGGAGCAGGCCATCAGCTGCTTTGCAAACATCACTAATGCCTCTAGCCTCTGTCAAAAGGAGGCTGACGGATGAGACGAGACAGAGCGAGAGAGTTGAGGGGGATGATGACGTCTTTGGAGTAGTGATGTCACTGGACTTGATGTCACCGGAAATGACGACATCCCGACTGCGATGTTACAACCTCACCCTTTCCTTTCTGGGGCCTGACCTAACCCTTTGTGTCCCGAGTGGGCGGCGCACCTTGCCTAGGGAGGGAGGTGGTTACAGGTAGTGTGAGGCCCAGGACTGCAAAACCAGTGGCTGGTAAGTAGCCCCAGCCCCAGGGAGGGTAAAGAAACACGGGGCGGGGAAAGGTGAGAAAGTGAAAATGGAGAGAGAGAGAGAAATGTGTTTTAAATGATGTGCAAAGAAACATACTATGGGGAGAAATGCTTGTAAATGGTCACAAATCTCTCCAGTGCGCTTTCCCTCATGAATAACTGGAGACGGGCCTGATCCAATCCTCTTGCTCTGAGGTCCTCTAGGGCAGCAGTTCTCAAACTGGGGGTCGTGACTCCATTTTAATGGGGTCGCCAGCGCTGGTGTTAGACTTGCTGAAGCCCGAGCCTCACTGCCTGGGGCTGAAGCTGAAGCCTGAGGGCTTTGGCCTGGGCGGTGGGGCTCAGGTTACAGGCCCCTTGTGTGGGGCTGAAGTCCTAGGGCTTTGGCCCCTCTACCGCCTGGGGCAGTGGGGCTCCGGTGGGTTCAGGCTTCGGTCTCCCCTCCAGAGGTAGTGTAATAATTTTTGTTGTCAGAAGGGGGTCACGGTGCAATGAAGTTTGAGAACCCCTGCTCTAGAGTCTACCTTCCCTACCTAGAGAGGCATTTGGGGCATGGCCCAGCACCCTATTCCAATGAGTGATTCATAGATTCTAGGACTGGAAGGGACCTCGAGAGGTCATCGAGTCCAGTCCCCTGCCCTCATGGCAGGACCAAATACTGTCTAGACCATCTCTGATAGACAGTTATCTAACCTACTCTTAAATATCTCCAGAGATGGAGATTCCACAACCTCCCTAGGCAGTTTATTCCAGTGTTTAACCACCCTGACAGTTAGGAACTTTTTCCTAATGTCCAACCTAGACCTCCCTTGCTGCAGTTTAAACCCATTGCTTCTTGTTCTGTCCTTAGAGGCTAAGGTGAACAAGTTTTCTCCCTCCTCCTTATGACACCCTTTTAGATACCTGAAAACTGCTATCATGTCCCCTCTCAGTCTTCTCTTTTCCAAACTAAACAAACCCAATTCTTTCAGCCTTCCTTCATAGGTCATGTTCTCAAGACCTTTAATCATTCTTGTGGCTCTTCTCTGGACCCTTTCCAATTTCTCCACATCTTTTTTGAAATGCGGTGCCCAGAACTGAACACAATACTCCAGCTGAGGCCTAACCAGAGCAGAGTAGAGCGGAAGAATGACTTCTCGTGTCTTGCTCACAACACACCTGTTAATACATCCCAAAATCATGTTTGCTTTTTTTGCAACAGCATCACACTGTTGACTCATATTTAGCTTGTGGTCAACTATAACCCCTAGATCCCTTTCTGCTGTACTCCTTCCTAGACAGTCTCTTCCCATTCTGTATGTGTGAAACTGATTGTTCCTTCCAAAGTGGAGCACTTTGCATTTGTCTTTGTTAAACTTCATCCTGTTTACCTCAGACCA